CATCGGCTCCGATATATCTCGTCTAGTTCATCCAAGGATCTGGTACAACATGAGGGGGAAAGAAGAAAGCTGTAGTGCAGCGACGCAGTATGCCCTTTGCCCTGGAATTATTGCCAGCTGAAACAAGCAAAAAAGGAGTTGAGCAATCCGAACCGAGCATGTGGGCTCGTCTTTCCGTGGATTTGTGGTACGCAACATTGATCTGGACGAATGATGAACATGTGCAACTTGCAAGACTACTGAATGAGTAGCAACAAAACCATGGCAAGCACAGGCCAATCTCGGTCTACCAATTTGGTGACCTTGAACAGGCAGGTCGGGCACGAGCAAGTGGAATGGAAGGTGGGGTTCAGCCGCAACTACGGGCAAACCAATCGGCCGACGATTTACCGCCCAGCCCACCTCGCAGCGGAGAGGCCGTCAGAATTCTAGAGCTTTCTTTCAAAAGAGGTCCCGCGCTCAGATTTAATCTCATCTTCCTTTTCTTTCCATGCGCAACGCTTCCTTGGACATGACACTCCAACGCGCCAATCCGCACTGAGGTAAGGACTGACCCCCAATCTCACCCCTTCTTTATCTACCCCGCGCCTTTTTTTCTTTCCATCTTCTCCCAATATGATGATACACCAGCTGGCACCAGTCATAGAGTGATTTGTACTCCCTTATTGATGAAAAACGCTGCGGTCTATTGACCAACCACTGATCCGGGACAAACCGACAATTTATTTGTTTACTTCTTCAACCCACGAAACCTCGCGACGCATATACTTGTTCCTTTGCTAACCTCGCAATTGGAATCTTTAACAGACACCCATTTCCTACCTCGCAGCCTGAATCAGAAACCGAGTCACCGCCGACAAGATGGTCCTCCACAACCCCAACAACTGGCATTGGGTCAACAAGGATGCCTCGGCCTGGGCGAGACAGTACCTTGAGGAGAGCTTGGCGAAAGTCGAGACTACCGATAGCGGTGTCACGGCAAAGATTAGCAAGGTTGTGAGCATGGATGGCGACGTCGACGTTAGCCAGAGGAAGGGCAAGGTCATCACCATTTACGATGTTAAGCTCGTTCTAGAATACACCGGTAGGTCCATCAATGCAAGCACATGTGTTTCACATTCCGTAAAAAACCTCGTTCAACCGACTGTCTCTGCCTGATATTGTACCATTTTTGTGAAGTCGTGTGTTCTGGAGCCTCGCTAACGTAGCGCAGGCACCACTGCCGACGAGGCTGAGGTCTCGGGCACCATCACCGTTCCTGAGGTCGCCCACGACACTGAGGAGGATGAGTTTGTGGTGGGTCTCTCTCTTGTGAAATCTCTGCATCGTCAAAATGCCACCCCGTTTTACTGAGACTTTGCCTGCCTGATAGTTTGACATCGACATCTACTCCGACTCCAAGGAGAAGCAGCCTGTCAAGGACCTCGTCCGCTCCAAGCTCGTGCCGGAGCTCCGCAAGGAGTTCCTCAAGCTGCCCGGAGCCTTGATCGCCGAGCACGGCAAGGACATCCAGCATGCCCCCGGATCCAACCCGTCCAGCGGCTTCTCGACCCCCAAGTACCAGGCGCAGAATACGCCGGCCAAGTCCACCACCGCCTCGACCAGCGTCAAGGGTAGCTCCGGCAAGGTCGTCAACACCATGACCCTGACCGACACCGCCGAGTTCCGCACCACGGCCGAGGAGGCATACCAGACCTTTGTCGACCCCGCCCGCATCGCCGCCTTCACCCGCGCGCCGCCCAAGGTCTTCCAGGGCGCCATCAAGGGCGCAAAGTTTGAGCTGTTTGACGGAAACGTCACGGGCGAGTACCTCGAGCTCAGCGCCCCCAAGAAGATTGTCCAGAGCTGGCGCCTGAAGCAGTGGCCCGAGGGCCACTTCTCCAAGCTCAGCATCGAGTTTGACCAGAACGACGTCGACCACGTCACGCTGATGCGTGTCAACTGGGACGGCGTTCCTGTGGGCGAGGAGGAGGCCACGAAGCGCAACTGGCAAGAGTACTACGTCAACAGCATCAAGCGCACATTTGGGTATGTCTCCACAAGTTACATCAATCTTGCCGAGATTACATTCTAACGTTCGTTATTCCCTAGATTCGGCACCATTCTGTAAGCGTGAAAACGTTTGAAGACGAGACTTTGGACACTCAGTGGCAACTTCAAGCCAATTTTTCTGCTTGAGAAGTGGAAGAATTTCCTGCAGACGACTGGCTGACATGCACAAACGGTATGGAGAGTTCTGCGGCATGCATCATTAGATCCTCAGACTGGCTTTACAAGCCCTGAGTAGCTGGGGCGTCTGAAGTTCCCTTGGGTTCAGCAGCCCCAGGTACGAATTAGATGAGACACGTTGAAATGAAACAAAGACAAACGTTGAGAGAGCCTCCATGATTGCTACGTATTTTGATATGGTATGCCTCGTCCTGAGTGATCTGAAATCCATATGACACCGTGTCCTGGCTACCTCAACCACATTAGTCTCGACTTGCAGTATCATTCCTTTTTGGTCGTTACATGTTACATTAATACTATACACTACGTATACAAAACTTGTCTTACGGAAGGACAAGCCCATCAGGCCTTAGGCGAATGCCTCTGTCGTCCCAGGGCCTCCACAGACGGCTGGTCTCGTTTGGCGTTGAAGTCGTAATTCGACACAAAAATATCCGCCAAGTTATCCCACAACCCCAAATCGTAGAGGTTTTCGACATCCTTCAGGTTCCACACGCGCTCCCACTCGCCATCGCCAGGCCCGTGGTCTGGAGGCGGCATCCCGTCTTCAGTCCTCGTCAACACCTGCTGCGTCTGCAGCGGCCAGCGCGTCCTCTCAGGCTCGAAGCGCTTGTCCTTGACGCGGTTCACGGGCATGCTCCGCTTGAAGGCACAACCGTCGTCCATCTCGGCCTTCCAGTCGGACCACTTTAGCGATTCGTTTGTCGTGGTGCCGCAGTAGATGAGCCAAAAGGTGTAGCCCAGCAGGCCCCAGACCAACGGGGAGGTCATGGCCGCGAGGAGGGTGACGGCGCCCATGCCGACGTTGTCCTGCAGGGCCCAGCTCCAGATGAGGAGGTACTCTTTGACTTCCATGCCCTTTGGCGGCCACAGCGCCCATTGCGGGTAGTTGGCGGCGATCTTGTTGGAGAGGAGCGAGAAGCCGAGGAGCCCGCCGTACGAGGTCAGGACGGCCGTGGAGAGGAGGAGCAGGACGAAGTAGTGCTGGTTCTTGTAGCCGACGCAGCCGTTGATGAAGATGCAGTGGTGGTCGAGTTTTGCGACGCAGCGCTTGCAGATGCTGCAGTGCTTGGAGCGGGGAGGCTTGATGAGGTTGCAGGTGCTGCATTTCTGTCCGGGGTAGAAGATTGAGTAGTCGTAGGGGTAGAGGGACATGTAGTAGGCGTGATTCTCGGCCGTGATGTAACCCGGGTCGGCCATGACGGATAGGTACAGGAACCAATAGGGGAAGAAGATGACGATGCAGCCTATGATCTTGTGCAAGAGCGAAATCTGGGGCCACGCTCCCGGGAGATATAGGTATTCCGAAACAGAGAGGATGAGCAGGAAGAAGATCTGAAAAGCGTCAGTCTGGCCTTGAATTTCGTGAAACTGTAGCAAACCCGGACACTTACGACGACGGTAGGGTGCCGGTCATGCATCATGAAGTTGCCAAAGCGTATCATGGACGTCGAGAACCTCCCTCCCGTGATGAGTTTGTCTACAGCAAGGAAGCCGTTTGGGATATGGATCCACATTATCCTATGCATCGTTGCAATTGGCGTGTGTCTGCCAAAATGGTGAGTCCATGTTCCTAAAAGTGAGATGCCTCTGTTCTCCAGCCAGTGAATAAACATGATGACGAACCTTAGAGCCGGCAGTCGGCCAAAGAAGGCGACGAAGACTGTGAAGGAGACAGCCAGCACGAAAAGTGCCGCATTCCTGAGGGCGCCCATTATATCAAAACTAAGTGTTATGACTTCTTCCAACACATGGTCTTGAGAAAACTGAAGTCTGGGTATTCCGGCAGAGATGGCGACGTTCCACAGTCCTAGTTTACAGTACTTCGGGCTGGATGTGCCGGCTGAGGCGGGTAAGGCAGACGGATGACAAGTCCACTATCAGTCGCTATGGCCGGTAGCGAGTGGAGAGGGCCTGAGCCATGAGGTGTCAGCCTAAAGTAGGCACACGGTCCTCGTCAATAAGCTAGGTAACTTAGCCACCAGCAAGGAAGATTTTGAATAATCCAAGAACTTGAGAATGTCATCACAGCTAGTAGCAAAATGGAAAGAACGTTCGCAGAAAAACCATAGTTTGACATGAGAGTATCGTCATGGCATTAAAGAATACCAAAAATATCGCTGTATCGAGTAGGGGAGGTCATAGCGCAGTTCTGGACAGACCGTTTTCCGTTGCTATATTGTATATACTCATGTACTGTGCAAAATACATATCTTAACGCATAGAAGCAGTTCACACGTGAACACGCGGCATCCCTTCCATGAAAGCGCGTCTTACTTGAGCACCTGCGTGCCTTTTACTAATACGTTAGATGCCTGCAGTGCTGGCAGTGCACTTGCCCGGGTCACAAAGACGAAGCAGCATCACGGTCCGTGTCAATTAGAGGCAACAAGCTCATTCCAAAAGACGAAGGCACTTGGTCTATTCCTGACGTGTATTCCTAACGCTCATAAAACGGAAAGGCATTTGAGTGGGCTCTTCACACACGCCTTTCAAGGCAAAATATCGACTTGAGCAAGCGCGTCGTTTGCGCGATCCCTCACTTTTGACTGGCCGCTTCATCATACCTTCTCGGGACATCATTGCAATTCTCGACTTGACCAAACTTCTTCAAGGCAGGCTATCTCTCTACATGTAGTTGTCCGTCACGAGTTCCACTCTCAGCGACAGCAACACCTATTTCAAGGGCTGAACAAGCTTGGGGAAGTTCACTCGTGTCACAAAGTCAACCTTTGAGTTTTCCCAGCTACACTTCTCATGTTCTTCTGGATATGTCGGCAGGCGGAATCACTTACGATGGAGTGCCCGGCGCCCGCGGCACTCTATTCAAGGATCTGAAATTCTTTGTTTCGCTTCGCGTACCCGGCAGAGTGAGAATCCTGGACCTTATCAAGGTAGGCAATCACTTCTAGAATGCCAGGCGTTCTGGAAGCTGACTGATGCAGCAAAACGGCGGCACAATTGCGAAGTTGGAAACTCAGGCGGATCACTACATTACCTACGATACCGGGCCTAAACCAGCTGGGTCGCTCGATTGGAAGTTTGTCAGAGATTCCGTCGACAACGGCGCGGTACAAGAAACGGATAAATATGAGATGCACCAAACCCCCACAGCTTCGCGTCCTGTTGGTAGCTCTCGTCCTGCTGGTGGCTCCCGTCCTACAGCCAAATCAGCCAATTCTGCCCCTACTAAAGGAACCCGCACGCCGTTTAACACCGCCGACGATGAAAGTCTCGCCAGGTGGGTGCTTTCGCATGCGGCAAACAAAAAAAGCGGCAATGAGATCTATCAGACATTCGAGGGAATAGTGAGTTCGGTTCTCGACGTATATTCTTCTCTTACTTTCACTAAACGGTTGTAGAACAATCGTCATACCTGGCATTCTTGGAGAGATCGATGGGTAAAGAAGCTATCCAAATTGCCTCCGGCTGAGCTTGAGAAGATGGCAGCTAATGCTCCGGATATCGCATTGCCGCCGCCACCGGCAGCCGCGACTCCTTCCAAGCGATCCCAAGCTACGCGACCAGCAGTGAAGAAGGCGCCTCCTCTGGATACCCCAAAAAGTGTCTCGCCATTGCCTCCGGCGAAGGCAGAGGTGAAGGCAACGGTCAGGCCGAGCTCCGCCACCCATCAGCCAGCCGTCAGAAGGCCATTGACTCCAGCGAAGAGAGCCAAGTTCACAGAGGCAGAGGATGACTTGTTGATCCGCGAGGCAGGCAGGTTTGGCGGTACACCCGACACCAAATTCTTCAAGAAATTCTCAGAAAGGGTACGTCTGCTTTTCACCGTAGTGATAATGGCTCCAGACTGAACCTAAGTAGCATTCCAGTCATTCAGAGGCTGCGTGGAAACGGCACTGGACACAAATATTGGAGCCGCGACTTCGGGAGAGCTCTAAGGAAAGCCTTGACGAGAGCGGACTCTTGCCTGAAGAATCCTCTACAGTCAACATAAAGACCCGACCGGACACAGCTCCCAGCGGCGAGCCAAGTCGACAAATAGGACGCCCACAGGACGAGAGGCCAACCGAATCTAACAGCCAGCCCACGGAGACTTCTGAACCCAAGGCCGTCTCATCTGGTGCAAGCCCCGCCAGAGAGGAAATCGACGAAGCGGAACAGTCACGAGAGCCAAAAGTCGAAGAGTCCCAAGCTGTTACGAGACAGGATTTCTACGACCAACTGTGGGCCTACCGAACATTCTACCATATCGATACCCAAACCAATCCCGAGATCAACGATCAATCTATCGACTTGTGGCTATTGTGGCAAGCAGTTGGAGACCAGTACCAGAAAGGTGCGGTCGAAATCGACTGGGCAGCAGTCGCAGATAAATTGGGCTTCCACGTTGAAAACGCTCAGTTGGTACAACAATGCTTTGCAGACCATGTCGCCGGCTTCGCAGCCAGCGGTGTATTAGACGAACCTGACGTAGAATCTGAGGACGATGAGGTTTTACAGCCCGAGGATGAAGACGCCGTACCAGATGTGCAGCTGGAACCTCCACAGGTACAACAAGCGGTCACCCCCGGTGCTTCTAGAAAGAGGCAAGCAATCGTTGTCGAGACGTCTGGCTTTCCGTCGACACCAAACAGCCGGAAGAAGCGACAGCGCCTAGGCCCAGACGACGAGATCCCATCGACCCCCGACGACAAGTTAGGTCTCGCAAGCTTCGGAAACCTTGGCCCTAGCCCCTCGCTCAGTGTCAAACAGTGGACGGCCAGTGAGGAGCAAGTTGAGGGGGCCACAGAAAGAGGCGTGGAGGAAGAAGAGCCCGAAGAGGATCTAACTGGCAAACCTCGTCGTTTGGAGCCCGAAACACAGGACTTCGGCTTCGATGATGCCTTCAACGCAACTGACAAATCGCAAGACAGTATCGAGTTCGATATTTCACCGTCACAACAGCTTTTGGGCGAGGAAGAATCCGTGACCCCTGTGCCTCTGTCCTACAAGAGAGATAAAGGAAAGGGGATCGACCGGAACCAATCACCCACTCTTACACCAGTTCAAGAGTGGTCCGCCGAAGAGGGGGAAGGAGAGGAGGAAGAGGAAGAGGAGGCGGAGGAGAAAGGAGCAGAAGAAACAGGCGAAGCCCCGAAAGATGCCACAGACCGAACCATGACCGACTCCCAAGAATCGACAGATAAGACCGTCGAGCTTCAGGACCTCATGGACCGGTTTGTCTCGTTTGGCTACCCGCGCGAAGATATCGTCTTGGCGCTGATGGCTACTTCGCTATGCACACCACTGGCCACAAGTCTGGTGAAGTACTTGAAGGAGCACAAGGACATTCCCAATAATTGGCAAGGAGTGTGGACGATCAACGATGACAAACGGCTGAGACGTATCGATGCTGCTGGCTCAGAGGGTGGCCCAGTGGATGCCAAGATCCAGAAGTATTGGGATTACCTCGAGTCGAAGCACACGCGGATCCGTATCGCGCAGAGAAGGAAGTTTCTTGCCTATCTAGATGAGACCGGGCAGAGCTCTCAATGAAGTAACGGCCGGGATATATCTCTTCATCCGCCTACAAGTCCAAGGCATATTGACAGCGAGTACTGAGCCATCAGTACCAGACTTGTTGCAATCAACACCATTCATCATGACCACACCTGGAGTCAAGATATCTGTGCCATCTATATTAAATGTCCTGTTAACCGTACACTGTCGTCATGAGATCATCCCTTATTCCTTCACAATCGAGTACCCATAATGCCAGCCCTCCTTCCTCATATCCTCCCTCACCTTATACGCCTCCTCAGCAACATCCAACAGCCCCAAGTCGACCTCGACAATCTCCATCGCCTCTTCGGCACCCAGCTTGCCGAGCGCGCCGACAAGCGGCATCGCAACCTGACTGACACCACAATACCGGACCCTCGCCCCCCCCTCCCGAACCTCCACCCCGCCTCCACCCGCGGGCCCGCCCGCGTTGACGAGGACCACGGCCGCCGTGTTCTCAAACGCCCTCGTGACCATGACATTCTCCAAGAAAACACGCTCCGAGTCGCGGTTCACCACCTCGGTCGCGCCGTTCCCCGCCCCGTTGTCGCGCTTGTACTCGTCGGCGAGCCAAAACGCGGGACAGACAATAATCCTCGCCCCGTCGCGGATGAGCTCCCTAAACGCCTCGGGGAACGCCAGGTCCCAGCACACCAGCATGCCCGCCCTCCCCAGCGGCGTGTCAAAGGCGCCGTGCGGCTCGGGGCCCTTTGTCAGGTGTGGCCTCTCGTTGTGCCACAGGTTCTTCTTCTGGTACCGCCCCAGCACGGCGCCGTCGGGACCGATGAAATATGCAACGTTCAAAAGGTCCAGGTCGTCTGCCCCCTCCTCGCCGTCCGGCTCCACAATGGTCCCCGGCACGATGGACACTCCTAGCTCCTTGGCCAGGGCCTGATACCGCTCAAGGTACGTCCAGGACTGCGCGCAGGCGGATACGAACTGAGGGTGGTCGGGGACCCATGATGTCAGATGGTACTCGGGCAGCACGGCCAGCGAACAGCCCTTAGAAACGGCGGTGCGGATGTAAGCCTCTGCCTTGGTGAAGTTTTCCTCTGGCGCGACGACCTGTGATGCTCATCAGAACTCTGTTTTTTTTTCCCACGGATAGGAGGCAGAAGTTCCCCCCGCCGCAGCCGCAGGGAAACCTCGTGAGCCATGGCGCATGAAAAAGGAAACGCGGGAGCTAGACTGAGCTAAGCATTTTCGATGAGGGGTAGTCCTAGACTTACTGACCTTAGGGTGCATTTGAATGAGCGCGATCTTGACCTTGTCCGCCATCGCCGCTGTCTTCGTCTCGTCTTGAGTTAATCCCGCAGCTTCAAGACGGTCGGGTGTTTGGAGACAACGGCAAAGTTTAGCTGGCGGTCGGGGTCAGGCTATGAGGAAAGACAGTAATACGCCTTCATGCACTTCCCCGCAGTCAGTCTGCCTTGCACTGGGATATAGGCACACGAGATAGCAAAAGGGGAGATGAATGGATGAGAATGATCAAACTCCGGTTAAAAGTGCATAGTGCCCGAATAGGCGACTTGCTAAGTTCATATGCGAGAAATGATGTCAGAGGCAACCGTTTCCCAGTACTAATTTCCACCGATTGCAATGACCATAGTCCAGTAACCCATCCGCAAAAAAACAACGAAAAGCAAGAGGGAAGGTAAAAGATATAATCACAAACGCCGGAAACAATTCGCCCTGCCCAGATGTCATAAACTTTGTATGTGTTTCGATTTGGAGATTCATGTCGAATGTCGCTCTCGACCAGCAGCTCTCAAGTCGTCGTCGATCCTCGGATATTGCGTTGAATTAGCGGCAGATCTCTGGAAAGATAATTTGGGGACGCCGTGGAAATGAAGGTCTTGTTCATGGCGCCAATAATTGGAGATATATGCTGATCAGCCTCGAGGATACCCGGCGAGAGATATTTGGCATAAGACACGACGAAGCCAGCAAGTTCGCCTATAAAGCATATTGCAATCAGTATCCTTTTCTTGCAAAGTAATGTTTCAACACCATACCGAGCGCAATTAGTCCGAGGTTTCTCACTGCTGATGGTGGAAGACCGTAAGATCCCATGAGTAAAGACGCGGCTGGGCACGCCACATATGGCACCCAACTTGTCCAACCCGGTCGATGGAAAGAACCGCGAACTTCTGATGTCGATGAAGCCATATTGTCAAGTGTATCCAGCAGGTCTTCTGAAATCTGGTTCACGTGTGAAAGCTTATCAGAGTGTGATTCGTATTTCGAGGAGATGTCATCGGTAATGTCTAGGAGTTTCTCCAATCCCTGAAAGATAGTCAGCGGCATGTTTGATTCTTGCAGAAGACTTTCTTCACCAACTTTCTCAAGACTATCTTGTCGGTGAGCTAGTTCAATCGCTCGCATGTGGGATAGTTCCTATTTGATGTCAGTCTAGAAAGCAAGTGGTCGGTCTCAACTTGCTTACCAACTGGCCATGAAGGGATGTAGACGATGCTATAGCTGTCGCGAGAGCAGTCATGACAGCCGCGACCTCATTTCCAGTTCGTTCTTTGAAGTCTGTCAGTGCCAGCTCATGCGATGCTGCAACTTCGGCGTTGCTGCTAAGGACCGTTTTGAGGAGCACCGTCAGCAGCTGTTGCAGGTTCTGGGCATCCTCGAGGCCGCCTCGCATCGCAGAATTTGATGCCTTTCAGTCAGTTGAGTTGCAGTGCTCGGGAATGAGTGTGGCGAACCTACCTGTACCATCTGCATCACGTCCTGAGAAACATATCTGTCCAGGTCTTGTAAGCTGTTTCGCAACTGATCGATGTCTGGGTTCATTTGGCGGAGCTGCTCTGTAGTCTCAGCTGCTCTCAGATTGATCGCATGTAGGTGGGCTTCAAGCTCTTGTTCAACTCCCTCGGACAGTTTTGAGAGGACTTCGGTGAGACGTTGGTATAGACGAATGCTCTGTGCTACAGCAATATTAGAAATATTCCCTGTGTACGGAGGATAGATAATTACCTTTGTCATTATCTGCGCGAGCAGCTTCGCAGAATCTGAGAGCCTTATGACGGTAGCTCACCCAAGTATTCCACGCAGAGTCGGACTTGGCTAACCCCGAGAGACACGAATCTATCTGCCGAGGTGAGACGTGAAGCTGAGCAGCTTTGGAGGTCGGTAGGTTAGCTAGAGCATGTTCTCTGAACGGCGCACATCCAGACGGGATGACAAAACTGCCTCTCTCCAGATCACAGATAGCAAGACTGGCGGCATATGAGTCCACAAAGTCACGGATTTGTCTGCCGCTGTCGGTGAGAACGGTGGCGTCGTCTTTGCCTTCCAACAGCTGGCAGTTGTTGACTAGGAGTCGAGCAGCGATTCGATGGCAGAGAGGTTCTGACTCGAGTTCTTGGAGCTCCTGCATGGCGACGGCGTAGACATTCGGCAAGCGTGATGCGTCGTGAACTACAACCGACGGGTTGACCATATGCTCTTCCACAGACCGGGGGGTGTCTGCTCTCCTTTCGACACCTCCCCAAGAGAAGGCTTCGACGCCGTCGATCCATGCCCGAATCGACAGCAATCCCAAAAGGATTTTCGGCACACTGCACCACATTTTGTCACCTCCACCGCCTTAGCGTTGTTTGTCCCAGGTTGAAGTGAGCAGAGGGAAGTAGAGAGACTAGAGACGGGAATCGACAGATTTATGTTGCAGCCAGTGGGATATGGCGAGGCGACGCCGGGTCAGATGCAAGGATATGTGAGGGGAGGAGATGAGTGGGTGTGGAAGGACGTTGCGAGTCTCGGCCGTAAGTTATTGGAGAAAGACAATGGAACGAAACGAGGCAACTTCTAGAGTTGGGAAGTGACTTGGCATGGAATTGAAGGTAGAAAGAGGAAGGAATGGATCATGGGATCTGGGGTTCTGTCATCGGGAAGGTGCCTTCCTCAACCCGAGGCTTTTTGGTTTGAAAGCGGAAAGAGCCAGCCACCACTTCGTCCCTTCCCATTGACCGTGTCCCCCATGACGAGGCAAGGTCATGGTGCCTTCCATTTCACCGCTGTCCCGACTTTTTCTGCAGTGAGGTAAGTTCCCTAACTTTCTTCCTTCAGTCTGATACATACGTAAATATTCTCAGAAGACTGTTCCCGGTACAAAAAGGCGCCACGAACTTGAGTCATGGTGAGAATGGGTGGGACAGGACGGCACCAAGCGCGTTCAAGGGACGAAGTGTTTGAGCTACATCAGATCCATTGGTGACCTCGGAGAGAACCTGAATTCATGAATCGGAACTTGTCTGAATACAACAATGCACACTCTTAAGAACACAGGTTGGAATTTTCATCTAATAAGATGACTTGGTGAATGAGTATCTACAAGTGAGTGGTCACCTGGGCTCGTTGATCTTATATGAATATGATCAAGCAGTCGGCAGCATCGAATGACTTTAGAGCAGAGATCCCAGGAAACAATACAAATCTAGGCTAGTCAGCGAATGAAATAGGCCAGAACGTGGCATACAACGAAAGATATGACTAGTAGTCAAAACCGGCATCTAACTTTTTAGATTTTCGAGAAAAAAGGCAAGGTCATTGTGCCCTCTAAGGAGTTTTCTCCAGAAATAGTCTAAATGTGGCCTTAGTCGTACTACACGAAAGGCCTTTCATTCGACATCATCACCAATGCGGTCTATATAAGAAAATCACCATCCGTCATCCGGGACGCGTATTCTTCAATGCCTCGTTCCTGGCTGCCGTCAGGAACAGTATGAAGAGCCAGTGTAGCTCTGGAAAACAGCAAATTTAGCTCATGAGTATGACAAGAGCATATTGCGAACCACTCTGAAAACTTTCGCCTCATTGACATCGCATTGCCTGGTGTTATTACTTGGTGTTCAGTCAGGGACAGACCGTTTGAACATTGTGTCCCAATTGCCCCAAAAAACTGGGCGCCGAGACAAAGAATTATCACGGCTTGTGGCCTTGAGAGTTATACCCCCAAAAACTTCGGAGGCTGTAAGCTGGGGTTA